AGATGGTCAATAATGTTTGACTCGAGGACAACATTTTTCCTCGTTTGATTTGTAGGGGTTCCGTCATACAACGGAACAGGAACGATAACGAGGGATCAACGAGCGCCGAGTAATTATTATTATCTCGTTTTAATAATCCGCCCCGCCGCGGGGATAATGACGTGTTTACGGATCGGGCTCGTGTGCTATCCGCGAAAGATAAAGGGAACGCGGAGGCTACACGTGCCGCGCGGAAAAAGTTCTCCGCGGAAATGCGTCCGCAGTTAGAGCTTTAACGCGGTCGCAGCTGCGGTTACGCGGATCTAAATATTATTTCGCGACGTCCTGTGCGGCGGAGCTGGTCGGGAAGAGAAAAGTGTACAGAATAGAACAATCGCTTAACTTGCGAGTACATTGTGGGCTTCTGTGTGAATTCGCATTTTTATATGAGCGAATTAAGATCACGGAGTAAGTCGTATTTTTTAAAAATTTGACGTAGAAATGTGATCTATATGAATGTTAAACTTTTGCACTCTGAGGCACCTTTAAAATTGTTACACCACGTTCCAAGATAATTTTGATGCTGTCAAAGCTTAGATGTAAAAAGAATTGTTAGAAGTCCGACTGTTGTATGCGTCACAAAACTCGATCTCATGTACATGAAATGCACTTTGTCATATAAAACGGAGATACTACAAGTGAGAAAAGTTGATTGAAATTTGTAGTTAAAATGACTTCGAGTGCAAACGGTTAAAAAGACAATTGAAAGAAATTATAGTCACTAGAAATTCAGTTAACTGTAAATTAATTTTTTAAACTTGAACTCGCAACGAGGAGAATGTGACTTGCGCCACCGTGATTCCAATCCACTCGTATGTTACCAGATGAAAATAAATAATATACAATTGCCTTTTTTCAAGAATTGATTCAAAAATGGGCGTCGATACACCATAATTGACTCGCGTAACAGAGGCCGTGCAACTTCATAAAAACCGTCGCTCTGTTCCAAACAGAGGCGGGTCGTTAAACAAATTGTGTTTTATTTTTTATAGAATTTTGATGGTCGCCGGATCCGCAGTGAACGTTTTAAAATATTTTGCAGAAAGGCCGCGCGACAATGAATAAAACAATCCACAGATTTGTTATACCGTGCGAGCAGGCCGATCGCTAGAACAAAGCACTATTCACGATGTATCCGGTCGAAACGCTCGCGCGAGCAAATACGAGCGTGGTAGGCGTAATGAATGGCGACCGAGGAATCGATAATTTACCATTTCAACCCTCGCACATTTGTATCAATTCAACACCCTTTTTTTCCCCATTCCCGCTGCAAACTGAGATAAATGGAAAAATGTACAGCGAGTTTGCTGTTTGGTTTCAGTCGGACCGCTCGCAGTTTCGACGGTTTATCTTTCGGATTCGTTCGAATTTCTGCTCGCGAGAATAATGTGACAGAAAAGCATTGCCTTTGGGATTACCTGTGTCATAATATCTCTCTAATTGACGCTCAGATTATCCACGTAAATGGACAATTTAAGAAAAGAAGATACGATTACTCGATTCTTGCGGTTTTTATAGTTACGAATTGTCGGCAACTATAAGAAACGAGTTGCAAGGCTCGAATAATCGTATCTTCTCTTTCCAAAATGTCCAGTTTTCTGCACAATCTGAGCATCAGTTAGGGAGATATTACTATATTTCGTTTCAAGATGCTACGATTAGAAGAATGTATCCAAGACAATCTTGACTTAGTGGTCTCGAAAGCATCGTTTAACTTTTTAATACTAAACCTATCGCTTCATAAGAATGACAGGACTGAATTTATTTAGACCTTTCGTTACTTTCGCAGTCAATTCTCTCTAATTGACCTTCATTTTGTACACAAAAATGGACAATTTGAAAAAAGGAGATGCGATTATTCGAGCCTCGCGGCTCGTTTTTATAGTTACCGATTGTCGACAACTGTCGACAACTGATTGTCAACCGAGGCTCCTCTTCCCAAATTCTCCATTTTTGCGTACAAAACGAAGGTAAATTACGGAGAAAATTATAAATAGAGAAACACAATAAAACAAATAAAAACAATTCTTCTAAAAACAATTTTAAAAGAATAAATGTGAAGTCGCCACGATTAGTCGCCCGTGTTAGTCGCCTCTCTTTGATTAAACGTTCAGATTCCGACAAGCAATGCAAGTCAGATCAACATCAACATGTCCACTACCTCTAAAAAGCTGTACCAGAAAAGTTCCCAAATGAACCCACCCGTTACCAGTCCAGGACTGGTCAGAATCCATTGTCCAAGGACAGAGAACGAAGCAGACGAATAGCAGCTTCGGACGAAGTCGCCAACTCAGCGTGTCAAATTCTCGACTCCGGGAAGCAATAAACTTTTTACGGCACGTCATTGATTTCTCCGGAAGCCAGTTGGCCCTGCGGATTGCCACGGAGTCGATCGGGAATTTCCAGAAAGTCGGAAGGGTTGCTCTGACTCTGAGAAACGCGGTTCGCCGCGGGACCGCGCGACGCGGCCATTCTTCAGGGAGTCGTTCGGGCTTTTTTCCGGCTGGCGAATGTTTGGCCTCGGGGATCATTCGCGCGGTTTTATTGGACCGTAACCGGGCCAGATCGTCGTGCAATATTAGCAGACACGGAGTCGTTGATTCGGTCGAGCGACGAATGCGAGCTGCGATCCGCCGGAAATGGCGCAGCTTTCAACTTCGAACAACGAAACGTTGCTGCGACTTTCACGGGGTGAAACCCTGGACGTCGCCGCCGCCGCGATGCCGTGTCGTGGTCCAAAGTTGTTGTCTCTCCGGTTGTCCGCAAGATCCCGGGCTCTCGGCCATTGTTTCATCCGCGTCCGAGACCTCGAGTTGCTTGCTTTGAGGCGCACGCCGGACGAAAGAAAACCGAATTCGAGTTGAAGGCTCCCGCGGACCATTAGCCGTCCGCCTCGAACAACCAAGTTCCCTTTGACTCCCGTGAGTGGGCGGAGGGCTGAACGTGCTCGCAAAGGGCTCCCCGAGCCGGCTTCTCTCGTACGCCGGTTTAAACGCGTCGAGGGAAACGACGTGTCCCGCGGTTCGCACGCAGAAATTTATGATTAATGTACGCCGTCGTCCAGGGAGCGTAATTCATCGGGGAGAATAATAAAAAGTTTAATGGGAATTTAAGCTTACGAGATCGCGATGAAATCTCTGGAATAAAACAGAAGAAATTTCGCAGCGCGGCGCTATTACGCTTTGCGTTGCGAAACGGTCGTAAAGATTGAGGACGATTGGCCCTCCCTCGGTTTTCTTTGAAATAGTCCGCTTTTAAAATGTCATCTGAGAGATTCGGCTCGGATATGCGAAGGTTTAATCGCGGCGCACATTTTCATGAACCTTTGCTCTACGTTTTTTTCTTTCCTTTTTTTTTGTTAATATTCTACGTTGTAGAGCTCGCGACGTTATCAAAATGTCAGACTTCATTTTACATTTTTCCGCGACATATCCCCGGGACGGGTTTTCTTTCTTGTTCGCTATGAAATCGTTACGGGGATTTCATTTTCGCGCAGGATTTGCAATTTTTTTCAATAACAATGGATGCGAGGTAATAACGGCGACGATGGAATGCTCGAAACCGTTCGATACGACGAGATGGCTGATTGCTTTGGGAATAAACCTGCTACTCGGCGACGTGTCAACTGTATCGGGGAAGAACAATGTAACGAGATACATTTTTCAATGGACAGCCGCGTTATTTACGGCAGCGTGCGCCAGGCCAGGCTTAAAAGCAGCTATTAAGCCTCGCCTTCTTACGCCCACGCCATTCACTTTTTCCCACTTTTCATCACCCTTTTTCAATCCAAGAGCAAATAATTACGCGCATTCGCGCGACGGTTTCTCAACGTTGTCGTTGCAACGACCTTCCGCGGCAAACTCGCTTACTCGTAACGTACGCGGAAAGTAATCTTCTAACCAAAGTAATCATCTGGTCGTAGAAAATTCTCATCTTTAAAGTAGCAAAATATTTGGAGCATGCAAGGTGGAATGAAATTTAAGTCAACAGGAAGGTTCGATAACTTTCTCGGTTCATTTGCAAGCGAATAGATTATCTAATAGAAAAGATTCCAATTTATCTCAGACACTGAAAGGAGAACTACTAAATTTTTATAAAATTTTTATAATTTCCATTTCAACGAGTGCAAGCTGACGACGACAGAGCTACTTGCAACTCGAATGCAATAATAATTTCGATTTGAATGAGTTAGAATCATGGTGGTGCAAGTCTCAATTTCGAAAATTTGGACTCCTGTCTTAAAATGTAATCTACGCATGCGAAAATGGTAAGAAGGCAAGTGAAATCAATTACAAATTTACCATAAATTAACTTAACTCTGAATTATCTTGACAATAAATTTAGTCAGTAACAACAATGCACAAATTAGCAAACAATAACACTCCTTGCTTCTCGCAAACAGGAAAATATGACTTGCGTCGCTGCGATTCTAAACCACTCGTTTAACGCTAAGTGAAATGTGCTGGCCTTTAAAGGTTACACAGATCGACTATACTTAGATCATCCGCAATTCTTCATATTCCCACGTGTCGACATGAAGAAATTTGCTTAACGATTCCCCTTGAAGCCTCTTCGTAATTTCAATAACTACGGAATCAAGATTATCGCGCCCGCCATTCGACCGACGCGGCGACGTAATGGCTAGCGTGAAATCCGAAAATTAGCATCAGCCGGTCGTCGGCCAATAAATCCGACGTCTTCGACGCGAAGGGTGCTCGAACGAGGATCTACACCGTCCGCGGAAGTAGGCTAACGCCATCGTTTAATGTCGGGCGTCCGCGGGAGGACGTAATCTCCGCGACAGTCGTTCATAATGGTCCTCGTTGACCCGTAAAAGCTCCGATCCGGTCGGAGGGCTTTGAGAAGTTGCGATCGTCTTCGGGTGCCGTCGATGCGACGGACGCCGGTGATTCGCGCGACCGGCACCACTGGCTTTCAAGCCGACTTTTCTTTTGTTCCAGACGCCGACCGGCGGAACGGGAAGAGAGACGAAGGACCCAAAGAAGGGAGGCAATTGTACACCGGCAGCCGGCGCTGTTCAGATTATCGCGCTCCCGGAAACACGATCGTTTGACGCCTGACGGAATGACGTCGGCCCCATCCCCCTTGGCGTCGACGTCGACGCAGCGAGCCATCGTCCCCGCGTCGATCATCCTGTGCGGAACGCGAGGAGCCGGCATTTAACTGGATCGCGGTCGAGAACGTCGATCCGTCCGCCGTGTCCCGACCGGATGATAAGATCGTGATCGCTCGTCCCAACGAAGAAAGGACTCGAGCTAACAAAGAGGCAGCTCTGGATCGTTGAAATTTCCGCTGAGTGATTGCGCCGGGTTTTCCAGTCGAAGCGAGCGGACCGAGGCAGCGGCGGCGGCGGCGGCGGCGACAATCAGTCCCCGGGGCGATCGGAGATCCCCGAGAGAGATTTCAGAGAGTCGGGTGAGGATCTATCGTCGCGAACAAACTCCAAGGACTTCGCCATGAACACCACGTCGATGTACACGACGAGCGTGATCGATTACGCGAGGAAGGTCAGCCAGAACGACTCGATGATCCCGAACTGCGAGGCGGACCTGCCGATCATCGCGCTGGTCAACCAGATCCTCTATTCCATCGTCTGCATCGTCGGCTTGTTAGGCAACACCCTGGTCATCTACGTGGTGCTGCGGTTCTCGAACATGCAAACGGTCACGAACACGTACATCCTGAACCTTGCGATCGCCGACGAATGCTTCCTGATCGGCATACCGTTCCTCGTCACCACCATGAGCCTGCGCAGCTGGATGTTCGGCAAAGTGATGTGCAAGGCGTACATGACCACCACCAGCGTGAACCAGTTCACCAGCAGCATCTTCCTGTTGATCATGAGCGCGGACCGTTACGTGGCCGTGTGCCATCCGATCTCGTCCCCGAAGATCCGCACGCCGTTCATCTCGAAGGTGGTCACGAAGATCGCCTGGGTCGCCAGCGCCGTCTTCATGGTCCCGATCATCCTGTACGCGAGCGCGATGGAGGGTGAGAAGGGGATCATCACGTGCAACATCTACTGGCCCAGCCACCAGGGCGGTCACACCACCTTCACCCTCTACACGTTCGTCCTGGGCTTCGCCGTGCCCCTGGTCCTGATACTGATCTTCTACTTCCTGGTGATCAGGAAGCTGCGGACGGTGGGCCCGAAGACCAAGTCGAAGGAGAAGAAACGGTCGCAGCGGAACGTGACCAAGCTGGTGCTGACCGTGATCACCGTGTACGTGTTCTGCTGGCTGCCCTATTGGCTGACCCAGGTGGCGTTGATCTACACGCCGCCGAAGCAGTGCCAGAGCAAGATCACCATCACGATCTTCCTGCTGGCCGGGTTCCTCAGCTACAGCAACAGCGCGATGAACCCGATCCTGTACGCGTTCCTCAGCGACAACTTCAAGAAGAGCTTCCTGAAGGCGTGCACCTGCGTCGGCGGGAAGGACGTGAACGCCGCCCTGCACATCGAGAACAGCGTGTTCCCGCGTAGGAACAAGGCGAGCGCGGACAGGATGCAGTCGAACCGGCAGGCCGTGTCCGGCCAGTCCAGGCTCGGGCCCGAGGACGAAGAGGACGCCGAGAGGTGTCTGATCAGCAAGACGTCCACCACGACGGTCACGCTGACCTCCCGGTCGAACATCACCATCGGGAACGACTCGAAGGATCAGCAGCAGCGGGACAAGGACTCGATGAAGAACGGCGCCCAGCTGACTCTGCTGACGCAGGTCTAAAGCGCCGGAGGCAGGATCATCGATTCAAGCCGGAACGATCTCCAACGAATCGGGAACGACCGACTGACACGGGCGCGCGCCGACCTCGTCCGGAGACACCCGGAGGAGCGTCCTCTCTCCTCCGGCTCGATCGAGATGTCCGAACGAGCCCCGGATTCATCGAGGTCCCCGGTGGAGAGGGCCGCGCTCCTCTCTCGGGACGAGCGACGCCGTCTACGGCCATTCGAGAGGAACGGCCACTTAGATCTTCGTCCCGTGAAACGCTCTCTATGCAGTGGTGCCTCTCCTCTGTCCAGCGAATTTTTCATACTCCCAGGAACTATCGACCGTGAGAACGTGCCCCCGCCGGTCCCCAGCTTACGCCGTACGTGTACCCCGGTTGCCACCCATTCGGGACAACCCACCCTCGCCGTAGATCTGTACCTGATACCGCCGAACACTCTCGCAGAGGCGAAACGCGGACAGTTTCTCCGAACAGCTAGGACTATTTCGACGCATCACGGTCAACTCGAGGAGATAATACGAAATGTCGTCCGACACCCTTAATTGGACTCCCTGATAAACGCTACTGAAATTTCTCTCTCGGAGGATCTTCTTTTCACGAGTGGTATCGTCTAGCGTGGAACTTGGCGCCGAGTCTTCTCGCCGATGTTACATCATTTATATTGATAAGCTTTCGTGTTCCTTTGACTGCTAGCTTAACCTTCGAACGGTGACCATCGTTTAAATGTCGCTGGTGATACTGTGACGTCAAATTGGCGACGTTTCAGTAACGGTGACTCGATGTTAGATCGGACTCCTTGTTAATAATGGGGAACAAACAGCGGTGTCGCTAGGGATACGGTGATAATTTCACGTCGAGTAAGCTTTGATTTGTTCATTCGGCTTCGAGTCATCATTATCGATGCGGAGTCAGTTTGATCTCGAGTCGCCTGCGTTGATACGGAGTCAATTTTTACGAGCCAAATTACGAGTCAATTCGACGCACGTCGCCGCTCGAAGGTTAACGATGTAGCAGAATAGTGTTACTACATTCGCTACGTTCGAACATATGTACGAGTCCTGTCCGGAAAGTATCCTTTCGAGCATATTTTTGCACCTGTGTGTCCTGTTCGAGAAACATCGTGCTCGCCGTTCAGAGCGTATTCTTGCGAGTACCGCCGATAAACGGTGCGGATCTGCTAACTTTCTGTTGACAACGACGCGTATCTGTTGTAACGTTTAAAATCGTGCGCCTCGGACTCCAGAATTTTGTCGAAGGTTTGGCCACTCTTGTTCCGAAACTATTCAATGTAATTAGACAAATTTATGCCACTTAATCTATGAGTAGTCAATCGATTTCGATGTAGATTAGACGGTTCGAAGACGGTCGCAGACCTCGATCGATCGATCGTGTTTCTTAAAAAATCCGATCTAGGATCCTCCTTTCTTCGCGACACCCGCATTTACGTTATCGTAGAATAATTTGTAATCGCTCGCTGACAGACATTCTCGAAATCGAGAGATCTAGGAGATCTAGAGATCGCGTAGCGAAACTGAGAAAGGACGATCCTAACCGGGACATGTATAAATTCGTTGGTATGTATTTTTAGTTCATCATTTATTCGATACTTTAACAGCCACGGCCTCGAGAATGTCACCAAAATTGCAGTATTTTGTTCGATCGAACGAAGATTGAAAGAGTTGGACGACATCAATTACATTGTTAACATTCTTACGTTTTGTGGACCCTAATGAAACTAAGAAGATGTAATAGATTAGCGTAAACGTTAATTTTCCGATCGGAATACGATCGATAATGCAACCTGTGTATCATTTGTGTTTGAACTTGAATGAAATTAAAAAGAAACTATGCGAAACTATGCGTTAAATAATTCCGTAGTTGAGAGACGAGAAAATTGCCTAAACTAGCTCGTCACAGAGAATTATACTTCAACCACCCATCGGTCGAAATTCGTGTTAATTAGTTTATTCTAACGACCATTTGCGCGCGTACAACGTGACACACGACCCTTAGAAACTTGTGGGCCATACAGGAAGGTTGAAGTTCGCTTCGAAAGTCCACTTAAGGGTTGACTGTATGAAGGCAATTTCTGCCGTCACCTCCAGAGTGTTCGTGAAATTGCGACTATTTTTCAAACGCGTCGTCGTCTCGCAAGGCCTTCGATTCTCCGCGCTCGGTTTCGCCTCTCTTCGTCCCGTAGATCCGAAGGAAGTGAAATATCAACTGAAAGCGGCGAGTCACTCGATTCGGTGACACGAACATTTCTGACAAAAAGCTTCGCCTCTGCGACGACATTCTACACCGATGCCGCGTCACGGAGCATCGCAGCTCGGCCGGATAGTAACCGAGCACTCGACGCGGTCTAAAGCAGCGCGACGAGCGCGATTCGAGCGCTATCGTCGCTCTTCGAGGAGAGATCGACCAAGCAGTCGGGCTCCTTCCGATTAGCCGGCCCTGCTCGCGGAAGATTTACGAGTTTCCGATGACATAAGACGATCTTCCGGGAGACGTCCCGACGCCGTGCTCCGAATCCTCGAGCGGCTTCGGTCTTCTGGACATTTGTGTGCAAGCTAGGCAACGAGGAATCCACGCGCCGCGATCGCCGGATGATCGCGGCGAAAAACGATGCTAATTGTTCGATCGGGGGATTCTGATCCAATCCGAGGACACTCGGGATCGAGGATCGACGGCCGACCAGTGTTCGGAGAACGCGAGACACGCGAATAGCTGCGCTGATTGCTCGGCGCCGCTTGGTGTTTGCCTTCCAATCAAGCGCGGCCTTTGAGATCCGACCAGCCTCTCGTTACACCGTATTCTCTGACGCGGAGTTTCGATGAATTCGCGGAGAATTCGCAAGTTCAATACCAGGTGAATTCTTCCGGCGGCCTGAAGAATCCGCGGACGATCGCTGCGAGTTAGACAGCCGGCCCTGAAAATCCATTTGCGATCCGCGACATTTCACGTGTACGGTGGAATCTTTATTATTCAGATTTTTGATTGTACCAAGATATTATTTGGTTGTTCCAACTGTAGAAGGAGCTCGATCAAACCACGACCTATCATCTTATCCTATCGTATTAATAATTAGTTGAAAATAAGAAGAATTTAACTTTTGAATTCGGATAATCGAAGTTCGCGTGTATTTCAAATACACGTGTTCGCGTGTAATTGATATATCAGTGTTGTAATCCTTGTACTTCTTTGTACAGGGATACACAGACGTATCGAAATAAAGCAAGTCGTATATTAAAATATCCAATTGTTAACATATTATAAATATCTGTATTTTCTTTATTTGACCATGTGGACGGTGCAGAAGCCAATCGGATTAGGCCATTTTTCTTTGAAAATGAGTTTCGCTGTCCAAACACATTTTTATCATAGGGTTTTTCGGTCAATAAATGAATATAATCGATTTCTTCATAAATAAACAATAAATAGCAGCAATTCTCTATTGACCACGAAATTACTAAACAAAATATGTAGTTCAGAGAGGATTGTTTTTTTTCTAAAAAATCATTGACATTTTTCTTTCGTTCCTTTTCTCGCTACGTTCATTTCTATGTCATCTTATAATAAAAATTCGCCTTTGCATTATTAGTAACATTGTTAGTTTTTTATAGCTAATTTGTTATTCATGCGCGTGTACCAAAATATCCGACCATTAGATTTTTACGAAACTCATTCGCGACACACGAAACACCGATCGCTAGATTGCGAATTAAACGAACATAATAAGTTCTATGAAGATACTTTGATCGATTAACTTCAAGGGTCTATTAATTACACGTGTAAAATCTCCCCGATTCGAACGGAGAAAGAATCGATCCGACAAATGCTTTCCGAGATAAAAATTCGAAAATATAGCAACGTTCGAAGATCCGATTTTCTAAACAGACTGCGGAACCATCGACGCCATAAACGTCGCCTAAACGTACTCTTTGCCATACCTCCGAACAAATGTTTCGACATCGACGTCACGGTGATCGATTTCACTCGAGCGCCGCGAACACAAAAAGTCCCGCAAAAAGTATCAGAAAATGGAGTGGTCGGTGCGCAGGAATAGAAAACAAATCCGCGCTGTGCCGGAAGATATAGAGGAGTTTTCTTTTCGAGGTCCGAGACGTCCATCGAAAATTCCATACCGTAGCCGGTGCTCTCGGTGACGACGGAATTTATGGCCGGGTCGTGCTCCTGGCCCAGACGTTTCAATTCCCGGGCTGTTCGGCGAGTTCCTAAAGATCCGTCAACGCGGAATCACCCACGCGGCTGATCCCGTATCGGAAAAATAATTCGAAACAGCCGTATCGATCCGCCGCGATGAACCATCGCGCCGTAAACCATCGGGTCCTCTTTTTATTGCGAGCAGAGCCGCCGGAGAGCCGGGGACGCGTGCTCGTAAAACTGGCTTCGTCGCGGCCGAAACGTGTCACGTGCTGCTGCAGTTTGTTTCGGATCAGCTAATTACGGGCTGAACGCGTGCCGCCGGAACCGCAAACGAGCACAGGCTACGCGACTCGCTCGCAATTCTCGCGGAAACACGCCCCGGAGACGGGCGCGTGTCTTCGCGACTGTGCGGCGAATTTGCAGTAGATTAGCATGCGTGTTACGTCGCTCGGCGAGCAACAGTATTTATTTCGGAGGTAACGGAACATCGGGTGAGAAGGAATATGAAGGAATATGAAGGAATATGAAGGAAGATGATGTGAGAAGGTTTATGATCCTCTGCAGAGACTGTGGAATTTTACATAGGAATTTTTCGGAATTTTCAGGATGTTCGAAACATTCAGAATTTTCAGGATATTCGGAACATTCAGAATTTTCAGAACTTTCAGATCTTTCAAAACATTCAGAATTTTCAGAACTTTCAGAACATTCAGAATATTCAGAATTTTCAGGACTTTCAGAACATCACAAACTTTCAGAACATTCAGAATTTACAGAACTTTTAGAAAATTCAGAACTTTCAGAACATTCGGAACATTCAACATTTTCAGAACATTCAGAATTTTCAGAACTTTCAGAACTTTCAGAATTTTCAGAACATTCAGAGTTTTCAGAACTTTCAGAACATTAGGAACATCCCGATCTTTCAAAACATTCAGAATTTTCAGAACTTTCAGAACATTCAGAATATTCAGAATTTTCAGGACTTTCAGAACATCACAAACTTTCAGAACATTCAGAATTTTCAGAACTTTTAGAAAATTCAGAACTTTCAGAACACACATTCGGAACATTCAACATTTTCAGAACATTCAGAATTTCCAAAGCATTCAGAATTTTCAGAACATTCAGAATCATTGTTTCGTAACATTTATTTATGGCAGAATATTGGGCAAAAGGGAGGATATAAAAGATGTCTTAACAATCTGTGGATTTTTAAATAAATTCATCATTTTTCGGTGCTACTTTAATCTACGGTGGGGATGCATTTTTGTCACAGAAACATGTAACTCTGGTACCATTTCCTTTACAGTATGTATTTAACCATGAGATGATAGAACATGTGGTAAGAGAGACAGTATATTCATAATTTTTTCACAGATAACGGATATTTTCATGAACTCATTACTTTTGGCTGCTAGCTTATAAAAAGTAGAAACAAACATTATTTTATCCCGTGAAGCAACTTGTATTGTTACAAAAAGAAAATATATAGCACACACATCACTTTTTCAGAAAATATATTTCAATTATGATATGATAAAATATTAAACAAAAGAGAGAATATTCATAATTTGTTAACGGACTGTGAATTTTAACATAAAATCATTATTTTCGGTCGCTAGCTCGGAGAGGAGCAGACACTATTTCATTCTACGTCGCTACATTGTTGCTACGAAGATATAATAATACAATAATGTTTTCGCAATGTAGATCCAATAACGGGACGATATTATTGTATAATACGTCGAGAAAAATAATTGAAATAAGAGTCGCACGAATGCTTGTTTCTTTTCCAGCGTCCAGAAAATAAAAGACACATTTCCTCTCGACCGCGCTGGAAATAATAAAAAGACTGTAGCTATTGTTTACAGAATATAAAGTGAAAGGTCTTATCGGGCCGGAAACTTTCGCAGACCACTGTACGTTGGACGAGAACGGTACTCGAAGGGTTTAACTGGCTTCCAGTAGGTAAAGTGTTAAATACCCATCGTCTATCGTCGATACAATGCCGGGAACAGTATCGTGCCACGTCCCATAAAAGTTCGAACCTCGGTATCGATTCTTATCGGGCGTAGGATTGAAACTAATCCTTTTCGGGAGCTATTGGCAACGTTATCTGCCGTCGCGCGCCTTTATTGGACAATTTAAGCTGGTACAGCGCTGTCGATACCGATAACCGAGTCGCGTTGCTCGAAAGAATTAGATATCCCCGATATCGTGGCTCCGCGGGGACCCTTTGTTCTCCGCCCGGTTTATTCCGGACCTGTTCGTGAAAAAAGGATCCTTTCTCTCCCTCTCCCCCTCTCTCGCTCTCTCGCTCTTTTTCGCTCTCCCTTGCTCTCTCGCTCTCTTTCTCGCTTTCTCTCCCTCTCGTTCTCTCTCCCTCTCGCTCTCCCTCTCTTTCTCTCCCTCTCGCTCTCTGCCCTCTCGCTCTCTGTCCTTCTCGCTCTCTCTCTCTCCCTCTCTTTCTCTCCCTCTCGCTCTCTCTCCCTCTCCCTCTCGCTCTCTGCCCTCTCCCTCTCCCTCTCGCTCTCTGCCCTCTCGCTCTCTGTCCTTCTCGGTCTCTCTCTCTCCCTCTCGCTCTCTCTCCCTCTCCCTCTCGCTCTCTCTCCCTCTCCCTCTCGCTCTCTGTCCTCTCGCTCTCTCTCCCTCTCTTTCTCTCCCTCTCGCTCTCTCTCTCCCTCT